CGGGGTAAAGTTGGGAGTTCATAACCCGCTTGAATCAAACTGTGAAATATGATGTATTAAGAACTGTGTAAGGTTTTGAACGACCAACAATAAAAAAAAAAAAATTTAGATTCTCACCCAATGCTAAATCTAAATATTCAAGGATGTGAATTTAGTGTGCTACTGGACACAGGTGCAGACTTTAGCATCATATCTTGTCAAGAATGGCCAAAACATTGGCCGTTACAACAAGCCACTCAAATGCTTCGAAGCCTAGGAGTGGCAACTAATCCCCATAGAAGTGCAATGGTATTAGATTGGAAGGATCCTGAAGGATGTGAAGGAACTATACAGCCATATGTATTGGATAATCTTCCTATAAATTTATGGGGACAAGATGTCCTAGATCAATTAGGTTTGTGTTAACAAATAACATAAATCCTAATGCGCCTACTACTAGGGCTAGACAAGGTTTTAGGAAAGAAAAATGATTAGGAGAACAAGAACACGTTATAGCAGCACCAATTCAAATAGATCAAGGAATAAACAGACATGGATTGGGTTTTCAGAAGGGGCCACTGAGACAATCATAATTAATTGTAAATCAGAAAGACCAGTATGGGTTCGTCAGTGGCCCCTGACTAAAGAAAAGATACAAGTAGCCCATGACCTGTAAAACAACAATTAGTGGAGGGACATATACAACCTTCTGTATCTCCCTTTATGGGCCACCAAATGCCGCACTGTGGCTGGGCACAAATCATGAGCCACTGAAGCAGGAGCATACTTTATTTCTGAACTCCAACAGCACACTCCACACACGCTCCTTAGGGTTAGGGGTTCTCTCGGGATACACTACACCAATAGGAAATCGCTCCTCCGGAATTTCCTCCTACTGCACTTCCCCAACCAACAGGAACTCTCTGGGAGACCTGGGAGAGCTCCAAAGTAGCAGGCCTAGGCAGACAGCAGGGGTCTAATCTCCAATTGAATGCACATCTGAACATAATCATTATCATCTCAATGGGTTCTGGGGTCACCTTTCAACCAAAAATGCCATGCCTCATTTCTACTTGGCTATGGCTCTTAGCAATTTATGTCACCATAAGCTGCAGAGGAAGTTTTTTAGGAGTAGAAATTATCCCTTAAACGCTGTGAGATTTCAGAGGATGAAATGGTTCAGCCTTTTGGAAAGATGTTACATAACATGTATGAAGGCCTGCCAAGAGCTGCCCTGGGATCTGGTCCCTGCTTCCAGGGGTTGGTCACCAGTGCTGCTTTGCCCAGAGGACACCCTGCTGCTTTTTTCTCAGTTTCCTTGATGTCTTCCTTTTCACAGGAGGCTTTAGGCTGAAGTTGACCATCCATGGAATAGGACAGAAAGATTGAAAAAATGTCTGCCCATTGCCTTCTTGGGGTAATCAGGGTGAGGGTGGGCCAGGCCCCCTCAAGAGCTCTTTTTGCCATCCTAACAAGGGTGGGTAAGTATCTAGCTGTCCTACCTGTTTTAACTGAGTGTTAATGCAGCAAAGGCCTTTAAAAAAGTCAATGATCTGCATATAGAGCTGAAACTTCCCCTCTGGGTTTTCTGGGTTGCAGATGGCAAACAATGAACTGTCAACAGAAAGAAAGAAGAAACAGCAAATGTTTAGAATCCTGATTTTTTTACCTCTTCTTGACTACCCTTCCCCCTGCCAAGCATTTGGATCGTGGTGTATATGCAACACTTTCATACACCCAGTCGAATTCTTGGACAGCCCACAGCTTTTCTTGAATGGTTTGTATTAATTTTGTCAAGTTTCATGTCTGAAATCCTCCAGAAAAACAAGACTATGATAGGACTGGATCTTGTGCCCTAATTTAATGTTTTGAGCTGTGGCATTTCAAATGAGGGAGCAAGGTTTCTTTTACCTCTGAGTCAACCTGCTGGAGCAAAGCCCAAGGTTTGGTTCCCACCTGTGGCTGCTAAGGCACATTTTGAGTTCAGTCCCAGGAAAGACCCCCTCTCAGTGTGTCTAGCCTGGAGCTCAGGCCCTGCAGAAAGGAGGCTGGTCTTCCAGCTCTCCTTTCTTCCAAGGGGAGCAGCCCGGTGCAACTGAAGCCTTGAGGTACAGTGGCTGTGCGTCCTGTAAACCAGATGATATTTTTCCTTCACTCTTCCTCCTGGGATGAGGTCCCACAGCCAGACTAAGAACCCCACTGGCAGTAATCCCTACCTTTTCTAGAGAAATCAGGGAAAGCCTTTTTAATGGGTTGGTTTTTGTTCCACTAAAATGTCAAATATTGCTTGGCAAGTGTGCTTTGGTGGCTTCTTGACCAAGTTGTTTTTGCAGCCTGGGCCCAGTGCAGAAATAGGAATGTCAGCTTGCAGCCAGCTGCAGCAGAATGACACTCGGCACACAGCTGATGAGAGCTCATGTCACCACATGAAGTGGCTTTGGAGAGGGAAGAGTCTCCTCCGTCAATCCCTGTCTCCTCTGATCTGAAAGGGCCTGCAGGGGCAGGTGAGGTGGAGGAACCATCCCTCAGATCTGGACTGGGGTTCTACTTGAAGCTGTCCTGGACCTTGCACAGCTCTCGTGCCTTACCAAAGGCCTGAGCGGGAGGCCAGGTTTCCACTGAGAGGACAATGAAGACACTCATTCGGATCCCCAGTTGAAGATGGCACCCTCATTCCCAAGGCAGAAAAACTCAAGGTCCAGGTTTATTTTGAGCCTTGACACTAGCTCTGTCCCTGTAGGCCATAGGCCCAGCCTTGCACGCAGCAGCCAGGGAATTTCAGTGCCAGACTGACTTCCTCTGAGAAAATGCCCCTGCTAAAAACTGAGTCCAAGTCCTCCCTGTTTTAAATCTTCCCAGACCCCGTTTTATGTCCTCTTGCTCCTTGGGTGAGCCACACCCTTCTCTGCTTTTTTCCAGAGCTGTTCTCATCAGCACTGTGAAACACAGCTCAGAGAAGCCCCTAAGGTCAGGGCACAGGCCTGCCTCCATGTTGGCCCAGGTCCTCTGTGCCCCAGAACCCCTGCCCACTCTCCTGTCCATGAGCTGCCTGACCCTGGGTGCTATGGACTGAAGGTCTGTGTCTCACGCCCAATTCATATGCTGAAACCTAACCCCCAAGGCAATGGTATTAGGAAGTGGGGCCCTTGGCAGGTGATTAGGACCTTTATAGGAGAGGCCTGGGAGACATCCTGGGCATTGAGCCCAGGGGAGCTTTACCACTGACAACACTGAGCTACATACCCCCATCCTGGCCCCTTTTATTTTTTATTTCACTAATTTGCTTAAGGCCTCCCTGATTTGCTGAGGCTGGCCTTAAACTTGCAATTCTCAGTGCCTCAGCCTCCAAAGTCACTGAGATTACCAGCATGCACCACCTTGCCCAGCAAGATACGATGACATTGAGAAGATGCCTCCTACGAGAAATGGCCTTCATTAGACTGAATCTGCTAGCATCTTGACTTTGGACTTCCGGCTCCCTAGAACTGTGAGCAATAAATGCTGTTGTTTATAAACCAGCTGGTTTCTGGTATTTTGTATAAGAATGCTCTTTTAGCAAGGCTAGATCAGCCTGAAGCAGGACTAAGACATACTGGGAAACCCACCAAAGGAAACAGGTGCATTTACACAACCTGGGGCTGATAACCTGGTGTGTTCTAGCCCTGGGCCAGGACAGAAGACTCTCTTCTCTGAGGATGCCCCAGACAATGTCATCCCCAAAGTAACAGTACAATCCTAGGATCAGTCCACTTCAATCACAAGGAAAAAGTGGGTCCCTGAGAACTTGCACCTATCTGGGAGCTGCAGAGGAAAGGCAGGAAATGCCCAGCAGACATACAAACATGTGTGCACACCTATTCATGGAACACACACACACACACCCACATGCCCCACAATCTCATACTCACTTACACAGTTGCACACCGACTCACACTTGCTCATGTTGTCTCACACCATTTTTTCACCTAGGGCTGGAGGTACTGGGAGCCTCACTTTTGTCCAGGAAGCTTGCCACATCAAAGGCATCTTCACAAAGGATCTGAAAGAAAGTACAGAATTCCTTAAGTCAGAAATAACTTCGCAGTTTGACACTGGTGAGGCTGCTGGGCGGAGAGTAGAAAGCTTTCTTTGTACACTCATCCCCCAAATGCACAAGTGTCAAAGCTGGGGTCCAAACTCAGGGTCTCTGCTTCATAATCTTCCCCAGAGCTGAACATTAAGCTCTTGACTGCCGAGGACAAATTGCCAGCCCTGGATATGGCTGAGAGAGAGGAAGTACTGGGACTGTCTCATCTTTCCAAAGAAGAGAGTGGCTCAGGCATGGGAGGTGACAGCAGAGCCCATCCTGTTTACAAGCTGGAATGTCTCATCTGAACCTCCCAAGGTGGAGAGTCTGTTTAAGCCACAATGCATAATCCAGCACTTTCACATCAGGGCAGCTGAAGGCAGGGTTCGCCTACAGGAGGGACAGCTCGAGCCTTGGCATGTACTAGCTGTGACTTCCGGCAAGTTACTTCATCTCCCCATCAGTCCTCAACAAAACAGGAGTCACAGCTGCTATGGTTTGAATGCTGCAGTTCCCTCCAAAACTCTCATAGAAATTTTAACTGCCAAAGTAATGCCATTGGGAGGGGAGGCCTTGAAGAGGAAGTGAGGAAGTGAGGACTCTGCCCTTGTAGGTGGATTTAATGCCTTTACAAAAGGGCTTTCTGGAATGAGCTCTCTCTCTCTCTCTCTCTCTCTCTCTCCCCACCTCCCTTCTCCAGTATGTGCGGTGCAGCAGGGAAGTCCTTGCTAGATGTCGGCACACTGATACTAGATTGCTGGCCTCCAGAACTATAAGCCAACAAATTTCTGGACATTATACATTACCCAATCTCAGGGATTCTGCCACAGCAGCACAAAGTAGACTGAGCTAACAATGTGGCCTACTCAGGGTTGTTGCAAAAATTCAGATCATACACCGGACACAAAATAATGGCTCAATATGTTGGCTGTATTGAATATTATCTGCTTTATAAACAAAACAGTGTTGTTGAAATTCTAGAAAATAGAAACAGATAAGGAATATAAGAATCCCTTAGAATCCATCAGAGATACCTGCTGTTGCTATATCAATCCACTTCTCTTCCTTTATTTCCCCAGGCCTATTATATAATGATAATGACAAGGACTGCTAGTAGCAATATAAGGATAATGACGATAAGCTTCCAAATTTAGAATTTGGTTATTTAGACAATATTTGGTCCTTTAATCTGTAAATATTCTGTAAAAACATGATTTACCCTTAAGATTGATGGATGTAGCAAATAGAAATACAAGACGCCTAGTTAAATTTGAATTTCAGATAAAGAATAATTTTTTGTCATAAGAATGTCTCCCCAAATTACACAGGATATTTTTTGAAAAAAAATATTTAAAAAGTTTAGCTGGACATGTTTTATTTTCTTTGGCACCTTATTTACTCTGGTGATCACCCTGAGGGAAGGAGGGGGTGTCCTCTGGCCCCCTGTACCTGCAGGTCCTGCCAGGGTCCCTCCTCACTCCTACCCAGGACACTGCTCGTGCCCAGCTCTTCATGTCTTCACTCAATTCACTTCTGTGTAACTGAATCCCTTGGAATTCTGGCTATGTGGGTGGTCCCTTCCAGTTTTCTGAATATTTTCTGGTGTCCTACTTACATTTCTTTTGTTACTTCAAAGAAGCTCTGCAAGAGGCCATAGAAAGGCCTGTGCTCTCTTCTCCCCACAGGTCTGAGACAGGGACCCAAGCCCTAAATTCCCCTCCATAACAAAACAGCCTGCAGAGTTGCAGGCCACACGTTGTCTCCATGTATTCAAAGCCCCCTCATGATCCAAACAGGAAAGGACTCAGACCAGGCTCCTTTTGGAGTTCCCACCACACTTAGGGACCACATATCCCAAACCTGAAGCAGAATGTTCTGGGGCCTCCTGGACCCAGAGAACCCTGAGAACAGGGGTTGGCAGCAACACAATTGTTAACTTTTCCAGAAGGACCAGGAGCTGCAGTAAAACTGAACTAGCAGAGCACAGAGCTGACCTAGAAGCCACAGCAGGAACAGCTGTGGTTGGCCCTGTCTTGAGCATGAGTGTGCTCTGTTCCACTCACCTTCTTACCTGCCTGGCTTGACCAAACCCTGGGCAGGAAGCTCCTATTCTTGGGCATGGCTGGGGGAATCTGCTGCCTGTTTCCCTCAGCACCAGAAAAGCACCAGCCTTCTCTGAGAAAGGCCAGGCAAATCATTCCCATGATTTGGGACATTAGAGTCTGTTTTCTGTTTGGAGCTGTTCTTCCTTGAGGAAATGTTCATGTTGGCAAATGCACAGGTGCTTGTGTACACCACACACACACACACACACACGTTCAGTTACTCAGGATTTTGATATATACTTTGTGTGTGTGTGTGTGTGTGTGTGTGTGTGTGTATGCAAGACTCAAGGGCTAGGTACCTTAGGGTTACAAAGACATCTACCCTGGCTCCCCTCTCCTGTGTGCCTCAGGTATGAAATCTTGGGCTGCTGGTTGCCTTGGTTTTTCTTAATCCATTATAGAGGACTTGCATCCTCTCATGGTGGACCCAACATTAGGGGAAAAACAGATGGGAAGCTGCTGCATTCGTGATTGGGGGTGGTCTAAGGCAGTAGCCATGGACACTTGCACATGTGCTCTGGGAGGTCTTGCCAATAATGTCTGGTGCATCAATCATCTGGAGTGCTTGTTTAAAATGTGGATCCCCAAACCCTAACCTCAGGAATTCTGATTCAGTGGATCTGGGGTGGGAGCCAGGAACCTGCCTCCTTACTGTGCTCCATGGGTGATTCAGGAAGATAATGAGAGGCTGACTATCCACACATAGTCCAAGGACAGAGAGATTTGAGCAAATGAGAGGAATACAATCCCTGAAGTAGGAGGTGTGCGTTTGGACAAATCACACCTCTAACTAGGTCTGCCAAATGGAGGGTAGGACTAGGTGACAGCTCTGTTGTTCGCTAGACTTAGAGATGACTGTGGAAGTTTCCAGAAGGATTGGGGTATTCCATGGCTGTAACTGTAGGGTCAGAAGCACATGGAAGTTCTCTGGTTCTAAGACTCCCCAGAGGGAGTGAAGGGAGACGAGTATGGGGGTCTCCTCAAAGGGACCACCCACCGAGGGGCATTTGGATAGTCACAGCAAGGGGGAAAGGGGTCATAGCCATGGATGTTAAATGTCCTACTAAGAACTGGTCAGGTGCAGGGAGCAAAGAACCTCCTGTCCCTGGGCTAACAGAGTGAGGGCAGCCTGGGCCCATGTGGGAGCAGCAGTCTTTTGAAGTGCTCCTAAATCTGGAGGAGCTGCTGTTGCCCTGCTTTTATCTCAGCACAGGATGATGGCTAACACCACCTGGTGCCCACTCTGTGGACTGTGGCATTCAACTACTGGAAAGCCGAGAAAGGCATTTACAGTGGAAGCTGTGGTTGCCCCCTCTTCACCCACTGGTTGCAATGTTCTATGGGAACTGGTCACCTCTCTGGGTCTGTGCCTGATGGGTGCTTGTATCATCCTTTATCATCGGCTCAGTAAGCTGGACAATTTGGGCCAATGAGAGGGGAGGAGAAGTATGGTAGAAGCTTCTGGAAAAGTTTCTCTTTAATTAAGAGCTTTTACAGGGATTCTCTCTCTACCTGGTGTATAGGAGGAAGAATGACCACTGGGGGTGAGAGAAGTGGGGAGTGGAAGGAAGGATGAGAAACCTGAGAGTGTTGAGAACCACAGCTGAAGGGGCCCCAGCAAACTTCCAGCTGCCAGCAACCAGCTGCCAGCTGATGATGGGCTTACAGCGGCCCCAGCAAACTTCTAGCTGCCAACTGATTGGCTCCTCTGCGGTTATGCTCATTGGGCTGTTTTACCATCCTTTCAGACCACAGAGCTGCTCACTGGGGGACTTTTTTTGGCTCCGCCCACACAACCCAGCAAATCAGCCTCAAGAGCAGGAGGAGTGGAGGAGGTTGAGAGGCTTGTGGGAAGCCTGTAGTGGCAGTTGGACTCTGAGGGAATTCTTGAAGAGCTGTTGTGCGGTGTGTGTGTTCTAAAAATAAAGTTCATTTCTTTTGACAAGTGGCTCCTGAATTGTGCCCAGCTAGACTGCAGCATTTGGTGGCCTGTACAGGGAATGACTGAAGGTAAGTGATAAGGTAAACTGCTCGCACCTGAGGCAGGGCAAGAGGATGTGTAGCCATTTTAAGATTCTTCTTTTGTTTTGCTTCACATTTGTTTTAAGTTGCCTGTCCCTGGAGATGTGTAAGATGGAAGAAAAACTGCTCACATCTGAGGAACAGATAGAGAGAAAGGACGGATGGACATTACAGGAGGCTATTATAATGATTTTTTGTTGTTCGAATTTTGTTTTACTCTGTTTCAATTTTGTTTGGCGTTATCTCGTTGGGATGTGTTATAGTTATAGTAGAAATATTCAAGTAAAAGAGAAGGTCTCTCAAGCTAGTCAGACAGAGAAAAAAATTCAAGCAAAAATGAAGGTCTCTCAAACTAGTCAGACAGAAAAAAAATCAAGTAAAAAAGAAGGTCTCTCGAACTACTCAGACAGAGAAAGAAAGTTTAAAGCAGAAAAAGCCATCAGGGGAAAAGTTACAACAAGAGACTGCTACTAACAACTTTCTATCTGCAGAGGGTGTAAGTGTCCAACCAACAGCGCCACCTCTATTTGCTGGGAGGCCCCCAACACCCGTAGTTGATAGATGGGATCCTGAGGTAAGACCTCAAATATTAACATGCTCTGTATTTGAGCAGGCAGGAGGGCAGTGAATTCACCATGCTTTAGATTTCAAAACAGTGAAGCAGCTAAAAGGGGCTGTAACAACCTATGGTCCTCAAGCACCCTTCACTGTAAGTATAGTCGAATCTATTACCAACTCGAACATGACGCCAGCAGATTGGACTAGTATGTGTAAAGCTGTGCTAAATGGATGACAATACCTGTTATGGAAGGTTCCCAATGAGGAATTTTGCAAGGAGAAGTCTAG